GGGGGTGGACGGTATTTAGATGATATTCAGGGTTTTTTCAGGGCGGTGGGAGGTGGTGTGTTGTAGGGGTGGTAAAGGGTGTGGGGGTTCTTGGCTGGCAGTGCGCCCGTGGCCAAGAAGCGCATACCCCCTGTATTTCAAGGTTAACGGTTTTTGGTTCTGGGTTGTTCAAGGTATATTGTACACTGTAGGGTTTAGGGTTTTTCTTTTGGGCTAAGGGTCCAAGGTATAGGCTATACCATGAACTCAGAGGTCCCGTGTGACACCCTAAACCGTACAGAGTACAACACACCCAGCATTTGGAGTCATGTCCCACCTTGTCTTACATACATGAAAGGATACACAAAAAAGAACGTATAAATATCGTCAAACAGAGCATATAAAAAAAAATAACACACAAAAACCAAAACATATGAAGTGAAGATCGACATTATCAAAAAGAAATCAGTGCCATTCAGAAAAAAAACATGTATGAGAAGAAGCATGTTGCACAAGGCTGAGAATTTAGATGGTCACCAAAATAACACGAACGAATCTAGACAAACAAGAGACGAGTGGCCCGAAGTCGTGGAATGTTATATATCCAGTCTATCAAAAAAATGGCTCATGGACCTCCCTCAACTCATCGGCCAACTCTTGCCAATGAGTCTCCACTGCCCTCATGCTGGCCATCTTGTTATGGCTCGGTGCCACAACCTGCGGAGCCACCACTGACACATCTCGCCAAGCGTCGGTATGAAACGCATTTAACGAGATCCCACTAGAATACACCCACTGCAAGAACTCCTTGAACAGCACGGTGCACTCCTGCCCGTACACCTTATGCACCTTTTGCTGCCACAACCTCTTCCTCACCGATGTCCCTGCATCACCTCCATGCTCCTTCCTCTTCTCGCCACCCGCTCCGCATCCCCCATCAATGTGCTCGGCCCCGGTCGGTCATTACGAGGAGGATGGGCAGGATCCTTCCCCGCGTGCCTCTGGAAGTCGTCTGTGCTCTCGTCCTGGCCCCTGCCCTCCCGACCCCCGACGTCTCCCCCCCCCTCCAGGTCTACAACTTCCTCCCCGCCATCACCCCGTGTGCGGCACACGGTCGTCAGACCCCACATGTTCGGCACCACCCCCTGTAACTCCCCTCGGCACATCCACTCCCCGATCCAGCGCATACTCCGCAACTTGATCCATCTGGTTGCTGTCGAAACTGTATGTAGTGCGCCGCACTATCTCGTATAATGTGTAGTCAGGAACATATCCGCAGTAGTTCAACTGCGTGAAATGTCGTGCAGCATTGTACATTGTCCCTGGAACATCTGGCCTCAGTGGTCGTACCGCATCATCTTCACCCCCTTTTTATCGACATCCTGGCCAACCGTGATGTTCTCGTACACAACAGACTTCCGCCTGAACTTCTGCTGCTCATCGTAAGGGAGGTCGACACACTACCGCATTTGTTTGTGCCCCAAAAAAAACCCTGAGACCACCCGCCCCAACCCTGCCCTCACCACGTCCTCGCATCCCATCCTGCCTATCAACGCCAACCGCCCTGACCACGTGCCCTCATTCCCCCCTGCCTATCAATGCCAGTCGAGTAGTTCAACTGCGTGAGGTGTCGTGCAGCATTGTACATTGTCCCCTGGAACATTTAGCCTCAGTGGTCGTACCGCATCATCTTCACCCTCTTTTTATCGACATCTGGCCAACTGTGATGTGCTTGTACACAACAGACTTCCACCTGAACTTCTGCTTCTCATCGTCAGGGAGGTCGACGCACTACCGCGTTTGTTTGTGCCCCAAAAAACCCCCGGAGACCACCCGTGCCAACCCTGCCCTCACCATGTCCTCGCATCCCGTCCTGCCTATCAACGCCAACCGCCCTGACCACGTCCCCTCATTCCCCCCTGCCTATCAATGCCAGTCGACGTTCTTTCGGCCCGCGTTGAACCGCGTTGGACTGCGTTGAACCGCGGCAAACCCCTTTGAATTAAAAATTGAATGCGCCGAAGACCCTCCACGTCACCTGCCGCTTCAACAATGCCGCTGCTGCTCCGCATGATGGCGTTGGCTACCTCCGCTGCTCCTATCAATGCCGTAGATGCCGTTTGAGAACGCCGCTGCTGCTCCGCGCTCCACAGATGCTGATCCACGTCAGACCACTCATGCCGCTGATCCGCGTGTTTGCACGTGCCGACGATGTTGCCACATGGCATGCGGCAGAGATAGGAAGTGTGTGCCTGCCGCAGGGCAGAAAGCCCCGACCGCGCGCGGTTCCATGTCGAACCGCTCTCTCTCTCTCTCTCTCTCTCTCTCTCTCTCTCTCTCTCTCTCTCTCTCTCTCTCTCTCTCTCTCTCTCTCTCTCTCTCTCTC